CTCTGTCCCGGTTCCCCCGGCCCCATTCCCGGTTCTATCCCGGTTCCCCCAGCCCCACTCCCGGCTCTGTCCCGGTTCCCCCGGCCCCACTCCCGCCTGTGTCCCGGTTCCCCCGGCCCCACTCCCGCCTGTGTCCCGGTTCCCCCGGCCCCACTCCCGCCTGTGTCCCGGTTCCCCCATCCCCATTCCCGGCTGTGTCCCGGTTCCCCCGGCCCCACTCCCGCCTGTGTCCCGGTTCCCCCATCCCCATTCCCGGTTCTATCCCGGTTCCTCCAGCCCCACTCCCGGCTCTGTCCCGGTTCCCCCGGCCCCGGCCCAGCTGTCCCCGCCGCGGTACCGGGGATCTGCACGTAGAGGGAGCCGAAGGCGGCGATGTAGACCGCGGCCAGCCCGGCCAGGAACAGCGCCCGCGGCCGCGCCGCCTCCCCCATGGCGACCATGGCGGCCCCGGGCCCGGCGGCGCGCCGTGGTGACGTCACGGCGCAGTAACGTCATCAACGCGCGGGGCGCGTCACGGAGCGCGGGAAGGACGAAAATGGCGGCGGCGCTCGGGGGATGAGGAGGGGCCGGTGAGGGGCGGGGACCCGGACCGCGATCACGGGATTGACGTTTGGATCGGGCCTGGGATCGGGACCGAGGTTTGGATCGGGAGCAGGGTTGGGATCACGGTCGGGATTGAGATTTGGATCGGGACAGGAACAGGGACAGGGACTGGGATCGGAATTGGGGTCAGGAATGAGGTTTGGATCAGAACCGGGATCGGGATCATAGTCAGTGTTGACGTTTGGATGGGGCCCGGGATTGGGGTCAGGACTGAGGTTTGGATCGGGATTGAGGTTTGGGTCGGGATCGGGACTGGGATCATGGTTGGGATTGAGGCTGAGAGCGTGGTTGGGGTATGGATTGGGATGGGAATTGGGATCGGGGTCCGGATAGGGATAAGGATCAAGATCGGAATTGAAGTTGGGGTTGGGATCGGGGTTGGAATTGGGGTTGAGGTTGGGATAGGCGTGAGAATCAGGGCTGAGACTGGGATCGGCGTTGGGATTGGGCTCCAGATTGGGATTGGGTTTGAGGTCGGGATCAGGGTTGGGACTGAAGCTGGGATCAGGGTCAGGATTGGGATCACGGTCAGAGTCAGAATCAGGGTCAGGACAGGGATTGGGATTGGGGTTGGGATCACTATTAGGGTCAGAATCAGGACCAGGTTTGGGAGCGGGGTTGGGATCTGTGTGTTGGGATTGGGATTGGTGTTGGGATGGGGCCAGGGCCCGGGTTGGGGTCGGGATTCTCCAGCCCAAACAATTCCCCATTTCCATGCAGCCCAGCCGTGATTCCTGCAGAGCTCCCTCCCGGGCTGTCCCCTGCCCTGCACCCCAGGACATCCATTCCCTGTGGGGTCCCTCCTCCTTGCCTGGAAGGTTCCAGGCTGCTTTTGGGGCTCTCTCCAGCCGGGACCCCACCATGGAAGTGGATCCCCGTTTCCTGCACCTGCACCAGCCCATCCGTGACCTCACCAAGAACTGGGAGGTGGATGTGGCCACCCAGCTCGGGGAGTACCTGGAGGAGGTAATGGGGTCACCCCTCAGCCCTGTCCCTGGGCCACCCCAAATCCTGCTGGGCTCAGCCTCTCCTCCTGCCTTTCCCAGCTGGATCAGATCTGCATTTCCTTTGACAACGGGAAAACCACCATGAACTTCATGGAGGCAGCGCTGCTGATCCAGGGATCTGCCTGCATCTACAGCAGGAAGGTGAGGACACAGGGATCCCTGCCTCATCCCAATCCC